TGAGAAAGTAAGGCCAAAGAGGCACTAGAGACACCCCAACCCCGACTGAGGACTTCCTACAACTGGAAGGGCGTTACAAAGTTAGTACTGCTCCCACTGCCCCTGGAAATGGCCCCACATCTGCTAGTTTACCTGCATGCAGGATCCCATGTTCCCAGACACATCGGCCTAAAGACCTGCTGGTAACCCCCCTGCAAAGTGTCCCAGGTTCGGCTGGGGAGGGAGTGAACAGGGTGCCAGGCATTCACGCCCAGATACCACAGAGCAAGGGCAGCTGGGATCAAACATCCAGGATGCATCTTCTGTCAACAGCAATGGGCCTGCGTCACCCGGATCAGGGACCCGTTTCAGTCTTTTTGCACTAGGCTTCACTGATCCTTCCAGCTGCTTTGTCTGGGGGAACTTGACCTTGGTTTCTGTGGGTTTGACAGCCAGTTTCTTCCGAGCTTCTTTTTTTTTTTTTTCCTCCTGGAGAAATTCCGGCCTTGTTGAAATTACTTCTGTGTCCCCCGGTTCTTTTTTGTTCTTCTCTTTGTTGCTTTTCTATTAGCTCGTGCTGCCGAGGAGCTTCGTCCAGGAAGGGGGTCTCATCCGCGGTCTTGCATTTGGACCACTGCTCACACATCTGCTGTTCCCTGTACTTCTGCTCCTGAAGCCTCATACAGAGCCAAGGTCTGACCTTCCTCGAGACCTTCTTCTGGATCCTCGGGGTTTCAAACCTTCCCCCACTCTTCGTGCCTCCTTTTGCATCCTTCATCGAGCTCTGCCTCAGACACAAACTTCTTTTTTCGTGTTAAGGACGCCATCATCCCTTCCATCCCTAATGAAACCGCTCTCAGCAGTGCCCACTCCAAAGCACCCCAGCAAAAGACACTGGGTCTTTAAAGAGAAAGAAAAAAAGACAAAGATGGAAAAGAAAGATGATTCCTGACACTTTAAATACTGGTGGCATCACAGGAAGAGACAAGTTCTAATACACAATAAACTGATGGGTGGTCAAAGTGCGGTGTTTGCCGTAGGCTGTTTGTGTTGTTGTTTTTGTTAGTTGGTTTCCAGTGAGTCCCGATTCGTATGAAACCTGCCCAGTGGTGTTCTCACAATCACCACTCTGTTGCAGCCATTGTTAATCCATCTCATTGAAGTCCTTCCTCTGTTTCATCAGGCCTCTATTTTGTGAAGAATGGTGTCCTTTCACAGGGACCGGTTCCTCTTGATAACATGTCCAACGTGGGTAAGATGACCCTTCACCATCTTCAGTTCTGAGGAGCATGGTGTTTGCAGTTCGCCCAGATTTGATAGTCCTTCTGAAAGTCCATGTTCTTGTTATCATGAGTCTCCTGCAACTCACAGCGACCCTGTGTACAACAGTTCTGAACCCTGCC